GCGCCAGAATCGGTTGAGTACAGTAAGGATTTTTTTAACCCTTACAGTGCAGGGGGGCTGCGAGGGGTGGAGGGGGGAGCAAAGGGAGGTGTAGTGCTAAAAATACAGATTTGTATTCCTAGAATCATAGTATCCTTTTACTAAGTAACCATATTTGCTGTCCTCCTCACTCCATGAAATTTTCCAGAGGAACAAATCAGAAACCATTAAGAATATAACGTTAATTGTAATTTTTGTTTAGTTACTCAGTTAAGGATTAATTTATTGATTCATTTATATTTTTGAAACCAAACAAATGGGCAGTCCCAAAATACACTGTTTAGTCCATGGGTCCTCAAACTCCGCCCCCCCAGATGTTGCTGAACTACAACTCCCATGATTCTTTGAATTACATAGATAACCAGAGAATCATGGGAGTTGTAGTTCAGCAACATCTGGGGGGGCGGAGTTTGAGGAACCCTGGTTTAGTCGATACACCCATCACTCACCATAACTATGCCAGGCCCAATAAAGGGGGACCAGAAATATCCAAAGAGGTAAAAACAACCGTGGTTAAATATTTGTATTTCCTTTAGAATAACCTTAGCACTCCATATGCTTCTGAACTGCATTTCCCACGATGCTCAGATAAACGGCAATCCTAAACAAAACACAGACAATTATTATATAAGGTAGAGCCATAAATATCGAAGAACACAGTTATATCATTTTAAATAAGGGTAAATACCCTCAGAAACACTTCTGCAGTTTTCTCCTAACACATAAAAATAGTATATTAAGAGTCTCAATTAATAAGAACTCCCAGCTCCTCTGGGTCCCAAGTACAATATTTAAGTACATGACCTCACAAGTTGCGGGTAAGTCTGGGAAGTGTAATTACCTGAGGGCCCCACAAGATTTAAGGATATCCTTGTTTCAGCTATTTCTTAATGTGCCAGTGAACGCACTGTTATAAATCTCCTTTACAATTCATTCGAACACTAAATAAACTTCAGAATTGTGACAGCATCTTCCGTTTTACTGAACACTTCCAAATAAGGACCAATCGAGTCATGATCCCCCCCAGCCACCTCCCCTGCAATAAACTCTCTTAATAAAATGCTCGAATGCTACAGTGTATCATTAAACTGAATGAAAACTGTCTCGCTCTCTCTAAATACGTAAACAGGGGACTGTTCGCTAAATTGTGGGGTTTATTTAAAAAATTAGGAATCGGAGACAATCAAAAGGAAATTGCACGTTTTAGACCAAAATAACAGGAAAAATAGCCGAGTTGGTGAGTTTTTAAACTCGTGGCCTGACATGTACAAGGAATTAACCCCTGTGAGTTGTGATAGATGGACAAAATATTTTTTTATTAAAAAACTCCAGAGTGAATAGCATAACACGTACTTCTTCAGTAATATAGGTGATTAAATATAACTTAACCGGTTCATGGCCGGAGCGCCATGTGTCACATTGTAGAGCACGGACATGATTAAATCCATATCATGAAAATAAACAGGCACACAATATTTCACACAGAGTCTGATATGTTCGTATACAAGCACGGTCTGGGGGTTTAAAATATGAGGTGGTGTGATATGAGGGGTGCCTCGATTGTTCCACTCTGAGCTGACAGCGCTTTACCTCCATCTTTGATTTTCAGCCATCTTTGTCTATCTCCAACACCCAAACTTTGTTGCGAGTCTGCGTGCTTATCGTGCTTAACGATCCCTATGTCTCTATGCACATTTAGCATCACTCCGGTGGCTGCTTTATATATTGACCAGTTTTATTTATATATTTTGGCACATCTCCTGTATGTCAGAAAAAAAATATTTTTTTACTTTTATACTATGTTTCAGACTCTGTGAGAAATATTGCAGGATAAAGGACATTGTATACTGTCTAAAAAATGCAATTTCCCAAGATTTATTTAATAAAGGATTAGCAAATAAATGAAAAAGAAAAATTGTGCAAATTTAGATCTTTTTATTTTTACAATCCTTGCACAAAATGGCTGTGTTATGCTCTGTTTATACGCTAGCAATGCTATCCTTGCTTCATATATATGTTATGCTAATAGTTTTTTAAATTAAAAAGTGGGTTAACATTGAAGTAGGACCCAGCTCCCATCAACTCCGGGCACCATAACCACTGCAATCATTAGAAGTTACTATGGTGCCTACAGCGTTCCTTTAAATTCCTTAATGCATTAAGTTTTCCATTTGGCACCATGGCCTAAAAAAAAATCAAAAATAAATCAAGATGAGTTGGTCATTACCACAGATTTCCAAGTCCGTTTTTTCTTGCAGGAAAGGGCAGCTTAACAACAAGCAGAAAAAAAAAAAGAAAAATTAATTTAAGGACCTTAACTGACCCTCAGATACACTTACATCTACTTGGATCAAAACAATACTGTTTAAATATGAATTCCCACACTGGCCAGAATTAGGATTAAAGAGAGGGCAATATATATGCCAATGCCGCAAAAGCCAAGTTTGCTAACGATTTTTGAACCACCTCCAACCGAGACGCCATAAATAACTCTATACTGTCCAATTAGGTACGGAGCCTTGTCAGAAAGATTGCATGGATAGGTGTCTGAGATGGGAGCGATGGTGAGAGATATTTGAAAGCTATGGGGGAGGTATAGAACAAATAGCTATGGTTTCAATATTGCAGAGCCTCACACCTTCCCAATTACTGGCAGGATTCATTAATTAGCACTACAGTTTCCTAATAGAATCATCTCTCTCTCCTTATCAGTCTCTTCCCTCTGTCTTCCTATAGCACAAGTCAGCAGCCAATCACTAGAGAAAAATGGCACACGGCTTTCTTAGAGCACAGTAAAAAAAATGGAATGTGGCAGGGTGGAGGGGATAACAGATTGTTATATTGATGGCTTAGAAGCAAGCTTTGTACCATTACGTGAGCTCATAAAATACGTTTTTTTCCCACTCCTTGTATTGAATTTCTATAGACAGACAGCTGTAGCAGAACAGTGAGGTATGGACGGGTTTAAAAGGAAGACTTCAGCCTAACAAAAAAGAAAGTCACAGATAAACACATATTTTTCTTTCAAGGAGCAAACGGACGTTTATGTACAATGAAGAGACCAAATGATCTCTGTAAGAAACCTGTAGAGTGTTTTACTGTGTTAATGAATTGCGGTATGTGCGGAAACGTTATCGCTGGTGAAAATCCAGAGTTTCCCTGGTTGGTGAGTTCACGTTGGAATTCCTAAATCAAACTGTTTGTGATCAGCCGGCGTTCAGCTGTATAGTGGGGACAGTAAGATTAGTTCAGCTGTATAGTGGGGACAGTAAGATTAGTTCAGCTGTATAGTGGGGTCAGTAAGATTAGTTCAGCTGTATAGTGGGGACAGTAAGATTAGCTCAGCTGTATAGTGGGGACGGTAAGATTAGTTCAGCTGTATAGTGGAGTCAGTAAGATTAGTTCAGCTGTATAGTGGGGACAGTAAGATTAGTTCAGCCGTATAGTGGGGGCGGTAAGATTAGTTCAGCTGTATAGTGGAGTCGGTAAGATTAGTTCAGCTGTATAGTGGGGACGGTAAGATTAGTTCAGCTGTATAGTGGGGACAGTAGGATAAGTTCAGCTGTATAGTGGGGGCGGTAAGATTAGTTCAGCTGTATAGTGGGGACAGTAAGATTAGTTCAGCTGTATAGTGGGGGCGGTAAGATTAGTTCAGCTGTATAGTGGGGTCGGTAAGATTAGTTCAGCTGTATAGTGGGGACAGTAAGATTAGTTCAGCTGTATAGTGGGGACAGTAGGATAAGTTCAGCTGTATAGTGGGGACAGTAAGATTAGTTCAGCTGTATAGTGGGGTCAGTAAGATTAGTTCAGCTGTATAGTGGGGACAGTAAGATTAGTTCAGCTGTATAGTGGGGTCAGTAAGATTAGTTCAGCTGTATAGTGGGGACGGTAAGATTAGTTCAGCTGTATAGTGGGGACAGTAAGATTAGTTCAGCTGTATAGTGGGGTCGGTAAGATTAGTTCAGCTGTATAGTGGGGTCAGTAAGATTAGTTCAGCTGTATAGTGGGGTCGGTAAGATTAGTTCAGCTGTATAGTGGGGTCAGTAAGATTAATCTTACTGACCCCACTATACAGCTGAACTAATCTTACCGACTCCACTATATAGTAGAAGAAGAAATTGGTAGGGGAGGGGGAGAAGAAGAAATGGGGAGGGGAGGGGGGGGAGAAGAAGAAATGGGAGGAGGGAGGGAAGGGGAGAAGAAGAAATTGGTAGGGGAGGGGGGATAAGAAGAAATTGGAAGGGGGAGAAGAAGAAATTGGTAGGAGAGGGGGGAAAGAAGAAATTGGTAGGTGAGGGGGGAGAAGAAGAAATTGGGGGGAGAAGAAGAACTTGGTGGGAGGGAGAAGAAATTGACGGGGGTGCGAGTGACAGGGGAGGTAGGGGCAATGAGAGTGGGAAGGGGGAGGGGAGAAGAGAGTGACAAGGGAGAGGGGGGAGAAGAGAGTGACAAGGGAGGGGGAGAGATTGACATCCATCACACACACATGCAATGCACCCCTTACACACAATGCATCCCTTACACACACAGAAACACACAATGCATTCCTTACACACACTCAATGCACCCTTTACACACGCACACACTGCATCCTGTACATACACAGAAACACACCTTGCAGCCCTTACACATACAAACACAGATTCACACAATGCATTCCTTACACACATATCAGGACATCCCCTACACACTCCACCCCCTGTGAACAAACTCATTGGTGGAACATGAAGGTGGACCCTGGGACCCAGACCTTGAGCTGTGTAAAGGGCCCCCCAAAAAATGGAGCTGCTTCCCGTTCTCCCAGAACATTGATTTTGTGACCACAGTTACAAACAGCCTCCAGAGATCCTGTTCTACACCAGACCAGTGGAGCCAGACTGCAGCTAGAGCCCATCATCATCCTCATCTGGTTGTAAGTAGGCAATCTAGTATATTATTCGTGGCACTAATCTCTAATTTACCTCACATTAAAGAAACACTATAGTCCCCAGAACCACTTCAGCTTAATGTAGTGGTTCTGGTGTCTATAGCCTGTCCCTGCAGGCCTTTTAATGTAAACACGGCGGCACTGCAGCACTGGCGTTAGTTAACATGGCAAATCATATGGCTGGGGCATTGTGATGTCACATGGGGGGGGGCGGCAAACTTTACTTTTGCCTAGGGCGGCAAAAATCCTTGCACCGGCCCTGCTGGCGGGTGATTGTCCAAATAAACCTGACTATGTGAAGGGAACACAGCTCTAGAATTCATACCTCTGGATAGGATCTCCGAAGTAAAAGAGAAGATTTCTAAAGACACTGGAAGAGTCAAGGTAAATTACTATTTTTCACTACACCTTTCAAAATGGTCCAAAGAAGGGTCATTGAATTCCAAAGCAAAATAGCATGCTTTCCATTGCACTAGTTGTTCGCTTGGTTATATTTCTGTACGATGGTGCTTAGGTGAACCTAAACCAAATGCAGAAGTGTACTGTGCATTCACACACTGACACTTATTCACATATTCCATCATTTCGCACAAACACATCCCTGCATTCACACACATTAAATGTGATGCGTATCATTTACATTGACTGACACGCATCACAAATACGCTCTCTTCATTCACACACTGACTCTACACACAATGCATTGTTACATGCTCAGTACATCACTGCATTCATACACTGACACTCCATGCTGCCCATAATAAATCTAAAATACTCACATTTGTGACCCAATATCTCGCTTTGATGTTAGACCTACAATTCACAAGTGTGGCGTGCATTTCAACTGTTTTGATTGGATAAAGAGAGTCATGTGGGAAAATCGTTAATATCCTCCAGATAGTTGATTTAGGAAGAACTAAGATAAAACCTATAGTTCTCTATTATATATATATTTATTAAGTACATAATATGGAATTGTAGATTTCTTGCTGTTACTCTTTTTATTGATCACTTCTCGCATGATTTGTGAATAAGATCAACATTTACCTTTTTCCCATCAATTGTCTCTTTTTTTGGTGCCTGCTGCTTTGATTGGATAAAGGGAGCCACGTAGCAGAATCTGAAATATCCCCCAGGTATAAGAGAGATGATTTATGAATGTCTGTTTACATTAAAGGTCAAATTGACTTCTGGTGGAAATAACTGGTATACAGGGAGAAACAGTTACAAAGACAGTTTTATGACTTGTGGACCCTGATGGGTCAAAGGAAAATCATCGTTCCGAGATCCCCAATGGAGCAATTGTAAGGAAATGCAATCCTTGTTATTACTGAACTGTTCTCAGTTTTCCATTTCAGGCCTTCTCTCAGGTCTGCACGTTGTTCATCCTATTTACTATTTTTCTACTGGAAGGAGCGATGTAATTCCTGGATGTTGAGGTAAAATGAATGGACTTCTAGTTTGGTTCCTGTTCATTTTTAGAAAACTAAATGTAGTTCAGAAATGATCTGCTCACAATGGACCTGGCTAATTATTCCCTACCCTTTAAAGTCACCGTGAGCAAGGCCAACTCAGGAGGTAACAAGTATCACAAAGGGGGGATTTCTGTCTTTAATTTGTGAAGAATAGAGAGTAACATTCTACATGAATATATATATATATATATATTGTTCTTTAGAGGATTAATAGCCTGGCTGACCACCTACTTTACTCACCCACTATCCTAAACATTCATTGTACCCTGTTCCTACAAACCGCTGGTCAGTTTGCACATTGGCCTTAATGGGCTTTCCAGAACACTTAGCGCCCAGATGTCCTTCCAGCTAGTATTTTCTTTGAAATACCAGATTAGCAACAGCTGTGAGTGAGTGAGCCCAACACAGGAGATACCTGCAAGACCCCATCCACATCTGTAGGCTGGGCATAAGTCCAATACACATTTTATCTGGGAGAGCAGATATTTACCAATGGAGATTCCCCATGCAGTTACGTGTTTGCCCCCCATGATGTTCTCTTTCCTGTCTTTCTCAGAAAGCACTGGCAATCTATTATCATTTCTCGGGGGGAGATAGAAACATTTTTTCGAAGTCTGCGGAGATTTTTTAATATGTTTTTTTTTTTTTCGGACGACCAACTGCTTGCTCTGATTCCCATTTTCTGCCTACCTATTATTTCTTGTAATGGCATTCCTTAAATTTTAAATTAGCTTTGAAGAATAAAATAATTGAATTCCCGCTGTTTTGTGTATACAAAGGGTGACAGCAGCTAATGTGATAATTTCAACTGTGAATGAGTCTTCACTTTGTATTCATTAATTACAGTTAATTACTGAATTACAAACCTTCCTGGTTGTTCCCTTTTATGCATTTCGTGCTGCATATTGGAACTCCAGCTGGTACAAAACTGGCTGATACATACACACATGGAATCAAGAAATGTAACATACCGTAACATGGCACTTGGAGGCTCTTAACTCTTCCCTGGCCAGAGATTTATTCAAAATAAGAAAAATTGCTGAAAATGATATTGACAGGCATACGAGGGCTATGGATATATTGATTGTATTTTCTGGTTAGTTTTATCATTTTAATCCAACCCTTAAATGTGACTTTTGTTTGGTCTCTTTCATAGGGCCCTCGCTGTCTGTAATGCAAAGGCAGCGTTTTACTTCCAAATTAGCAATATCAACTCCGTCAGTATTTCAATGGCTTACACTGGATGAATGCGTCAACTGATCTGTTCAGTTCATGAAAGCCATCCGAACTTGGACAAAATCGATGCTGCAGATGTGGAAGTGTAACTTCTGCAATAGACGTATGCCAAGTGAGGGCCCATTCAAAATGAATTTGACAAATAGCTGGGAGATGGCACCATAACCACAACCGAGGGCTGAAATTGTAGATGACATCAGCTAAAGCTGGCTTATGTATACAAAAGTAAATTATCAAAACAACAAGTGTTTATTTAAACAGTGAATGGCGGTAAACTGAAAACCAAATTGTAGCATTCTGCTTAAAACAACCAAGTTGTGGTTTGGAGAGTTTGCGCATATGAGCAATATTGACCTAAAGACACAGCCCTCTTTAGTGAATAAATCCCAACAAGACAAACACATTGCGTGAAACCTCTATAGCGCATTTGATAAATGTAGAGTGCGCATTGCTGACGTCGGGTCCTTGATCAATGGGGCCTATTTTTTTTAATTATTATACTGCTTTGTAGGGAAATGTAACTTCTATTAATTGCAACAAGGATCTATTCAGATGTAAATGTGTCTAAAATATCTATTTATATGGATATTATTTTGCCGAGGACCTACTATTCACTTGAAATCTCCTGCATCTGCCATAATTAACTTTGCATAATTGAGATAATTTCTATAATGTATTTATACACACTAACAGTACTTATTGTGTCCAGGGCACAGCGTATGAGGAGTAGAAAAAGCTAAAGAAAAAAAACTAAACAATAGACCCAATCTTACACGATAGTTAAAGCAAACCTTTCACCCAATAAATAAGCAGGTAAAGTAAAAAAAATTCAACAAAACCAAGGATGGGTGACCCCATTTAAGTAAGCATTTCAAAAGTTGACAAATCCAATTTACATCTTTTTAACTTTGTTTTTTTTAAAAGCACGCCTAAACAAAAACGGTCAGTCGGAAAATATAGTCACTTAATAAATATGAATAAACTAAGATCATTCTTGGCATGCCCTTTTATTTGGTGGTATTAATGTATGTGTGATGTTATATTACACTGCCGGAGTTTAACTTCTATTCGTGGTTTACATTAGTGTAATGCTCATGGCCCCCGGATCACAGAGAGGAGGAGAATTATTGGTTTAAAGTAAAATTAGCAATTAATGATATCATTATATCTATGATAAATGATTTGTTAAAGAGGCTCTGCCACTTCTCTAATCACTTCTCATCACAATCTTTATGAAATGCTAATGCTGATTGCGATGGAATGTCAGTGAACTTCCAACGCAATCCAAAGATTCCAAGCCGGAGGTTGACAGATGTTGATTAAGCCATCAGGTTTTGTCCAATCCCAGCAGCCGTTTCAACCCTTGTCCAATCCCAACAACTGTTACAAATGATGACTGTGGGATTCAGGCATCATCTCACACATCACAGGATCCTCAATAGACCTCAGTGTTGTATTCTTGCGCCTGTGTGAGTGTTCAGCACTGACATGGCTCCTGGCAATGAAGCACTAGGAACTGAAGAAGGTCCCCTGGATTAAGATGGTGCCCTCCGTAATTGACAGCTTCAGGTAAGGATCCTAGTTTTGAATATACCCCATGAAAAATGTATATAACAAAAGGTACAAATCACTAATAATAAAATATATAAAACAAATATTAAACAAAAAAGCAGCTACATACACGGATCAGCGACTTAATGAGCGATAAACTCAGATGGGAGTTTTAAATACAAAACATCAACAAATATAAGAAATAAATATAAATCTTTTAGTAATAACCACATATATAAAAACTTTAATTAATAAAAAAAAACAAGCTGTTTCACATCCTCAGTGGCAGAGTTAACCAGACAAGGATACTCAGATATAAACCAAAGGATGGATACAGAAAGACAAGAAAATATAATAATTTGTATCAATAATGATCTCCTCCAAGTATCTCCACAAAGCAATTGTCATTCGATACACCAAAAGACAAATGTATCAAAGACAATTCCAAAGTATATCAATAATGGAGATAGCGTGGAGAAAAGACATAAAAAAACATAAAAATGAGAAACACAAAAAAATTAAATATAAAGAGTACCTGACCTCGGTGTGGGCCCCCACCAGAGGTAAAGACTGTGAAACAATAAAAAACTATTCGAGTGTCCAGAAAAAACCCCAGACGCCACCTGTATAGATGAATGATGGAGGGCAGCCAACAGATACTGAGCAGCCAAATGCATCTAATAGAGGAAAATCCCACCTTGCACCCGAATACCGCGGTCGGGATCTTCACAAAAGACCGCGGTAAAAAAGGAATAAAAAAATATAGTAGGTGCAAGAAGATGGATTTAAACCAAGCCGCCCAGAATGTGGGAGCCCTTGTAGATATACCGCGGTCGGAATCTTCGCAAAAGGTAATCAGCCAGGTGAAAAAAGGGCACCGGAAACCAGGGATAGACCAGAGGTATGGAAACAGCAAGCAGAGAGTTGTACACAGATCGACGCGTTTCATCCCAAAAACATGGAACTTTATCAAGATCAATACAAACAACACACCCAGGGTTTAAATACCTGATCTGGGTGGACCAGAAAGTAAAAACCTGACTGGATTTCAATTTACAATTAACCCTTATCGGGATACACAACATTAAGGATACATAACAATAACATACATAATATACCCCATGGCCAATGGACCCTAGCCTGAGATGTCACCTTCGTAGGTCTTTGCAAAACATAAACACCTGACCTTTTCACAACTGATCAAGGTCCCATTAATTAACTTGGTCTCTAACCTGCTCACCAACATGGCCATATTGTAACACTATTAGTACCTTGATACAGCACATACCTGTAGACTACATTTATATGATGCTTTGTCAATTATATACTTTAAAACAAACATATTTATATAAGACAAAAACACATAAAGCCGTCTTTCCATAGTCTCCATAGTGCAGAATTCGTTCTATTGACTGAGCTGTGTTCTAACACGTTGGCTGATTGGAGTATTGTCATCTGAACAACCTTTTACATTGTCATGTGAACATATGCCGTGTAAACTGCGATAGACATATTTAGGAAGGAAAATATAAAACAGAAACACATAAATATAAACAGAACATCCCAAACGGTGATAGAGACACGAACGCACATAAGGCACATTATACAAAGAATGTACACATGCTGGTGTGAAGGTAATCAAATCCCTCATCTTACAGAAATGACGCGAGTTTATTAACTGGCAGGTCACATCGCATTGAATTATTAACAAGTATTTTGTAGTAGGGGCAAGAAATAATTAAACCGATAAGAACATCAAATGCAACATCTCATTTCCAAAGATTTTAATATCATGTTTACTTATAGTTAGCAGATAGGTATTGTTTGATGTGAAAAATAAAATTCATATCACTTTAGCCTGCAACTGGGGCCTCCATCTTAGCTCCCTGTCAATCATTGTTATAAGCTCCGCCCTTTACACCTGGCAGTCAGTATAGAGAGAGCAACCTCCATCTTAGCTCCCTGTCAATCATTGTTATAAGCTCCGCCCTTTACACCTGGCAGTCAGTATAGAGAGAGCCGCCTCCATCTTAGCTCCCTGTCAATCATTGTTATAAGCTCCGCCCTTTACACCTGGCAGTCAGTATAGAGAGAGCCGCCTCCATCTTAGCTCCCTGTCAATCATTGTTATAAGCTCCGCCCTTTACACCTGGCAGTCAGTATAGAGAGCCACCTCCATCTTAGCTCCCTGTCAATCATTGTTATAAGCTCCGCCCTTTACACCTGGCAGTCAGTATAGAGAGAGCCGCCTCCATCTTAGCTCCCTGTCAATCATTGTTATAAGCTCCGCCCTTTACACCTGGCAGTCAGTATAGAGAGAGACACCTCCATCTTAGCTCCCTGTCAATCATTGTTATAAGCTCCGCCCTTTACACCTGGCAGTCAGTATAGAGAGAGCCACCTCCATCTTAGCTCCCTGTCAATCATTGTTATAAGCTCCGCCCTTTACACCTGGCAGTCAGTATAGAGAGAGCCACCTCCATCTTAGCTCCCTGTCAATCATTATTATAAATCTTTAGCCATTACAATGGTAGCAATTTCTTCGTGATTCACAATTAAAGTTTATTTTACATGGTTTTACAGATTTATTAATAATAATATTATTTTTTTTTGTAAGATTGTAAAGATTGTAAGAAGATAAATGGAAATTTACTGACTAATGAGCACAAATAGGTGGCTTTGCAAGAATTCATATTTCCTTTTTTTTTTGTTTCTGTTTTTACAAGAATTTTGTGCTCCATTTGCCTCATGAGATGAAGACAAACTGTCTCGTGAAAGTCTCCTCTGTGTGATTAGCCAATACCTTCTTCCACATATTACACCAACACGTACATATCTCAACAAAGAAACCAGCAACATGTATGACTTCATCATTCTGTGATCCATTTAACCATGTGCGGCACACTATAGCCCCACCACCACCACCCGCCAAAAGGTCCAAAAGGTGGTGTTGGTCCTAACTATTGCCCTCCCTTAGTATTCTGCACTGGAAGAGGGTAATAATACTACTGTAAATTACTACAGAAAGAATCTGAAGGTCTCTCTCTTTCTCTAATCAAGGGTTAATTTAACAGCTCACTGCTTCATCTAGTATAATATCCATTCAGACTAATTAAATCTGTCTAATAATGTGAGTGTCTTTGTCTTTGTTCTTCCTATTCTTTGCTTTACACCCTTCACATCTCATCTCCACAACTACACGGCGTCAGCGTGCGCTTGACAAGCAGAATCCATCCCTAAAATTAAAACATTCCTGACCTATCGACAATGACAAGGCAGGCGAGATGCATAGTGCCCGGGCCTGTGAAGGGAGCTGACACATTTGTTTTTAATTTCAAAAGAGAAGAAAGTGAAGATCTGACCCCGTCAATCAGACCCAGTGACAAGTTTAATCATCGCTGCCCCGCGAAATCACGACTAAATAGGAATGCAAATAATGTATCACAGGCCTCTTATAAATGCTAATCAAGAAAAGGTAATCAAGTGACAATCCCACTGATCTCTTCTCTGGAAGTTAGTCAATTTTCTACCTTCGGCACAAAGTGAAACAATTTTTTTTTATCAAAGACGCATTAACATCTTTTTTTTTATGTGAACATTAAAGAGCAAAAAAAAAAGATAAAACGAAACCTGTTATTTCTGCAACAATACAGTCTTTAACGGTAATACCTGCGCAAACGATAAACTTCATTTGTAAATGCAAATGTTTTGCACTCATGAAAATTGATACAAAACAACGCAATCTTAAAGGGTGGCGAAGTTAATGTAAGCTATAAAAATCAGTTTTTTGTTGCATAAAGATGGTATATATTAAATAAAATTCTAAAAAATTAAAAGAGCTTTTAGTCCATTCAGTTTGCATTGTTTTAACAATGTATTGAGTTACTTCGTTTTTTGTATTTATTGTCCCACAGGCTCTGGGGTGCTTGGTGTTTGCTAGAGCAACCGTTCTCTCCGCAATATCTGCAGTGGGAGCGGGATTTCTCCCTCGGCTGCAGAACAGACACAGTTAAACTAACACTCTACCTTGGACTTGAGGCAGTCTTACAGAACCACTGACCATGAAAGCTTAGAGAAAGGGCACGGTACCAGGAGTCCATTCCCGCACCACTGATGGGTACAGGGATCATCTACTCAAAAACTGACCTCTGATACAGCTTGTCGCTATACCTCTCTGCTTACAAACATCAACTTGGAGTCAAAAAGATGGCTTGCCCAAGAAAACATTGGTACTGTATAAAAATAAAAAGAAGAAATGTTGTTGCAAGTAAATAGCTTCATTAATTAGTCAGTTTCTGAAACAAAATCCCATTTTATCACAAGTGTTGGAATGGAATAGAATTATTCACCTTTCATGTCGCTGACTTCTTAAAGGGACAATCTGATGACGATGTTATTCATTTTGTCTTTTCATAGAACTTAATGATATGAACCTGTGATTAAGTATTGCAATAGAATGGAAGTCATCATAAGGCCTGCTTGTTGCAAGGGAACCTCTATACTGTTCACTCAACTAGGGAGCAAATAAATAGGTTTGCAGATTGCAGGATCCGACACCCCTTGAGGAGAACATGCGATTCTACAAGCATTTCTTGCTTTGAAGGAGGCAGTTCCGGTCCCAGGTAAATACAAGTCGTGGATCATCTGATAATTTAAAAAAAAAAACTACTTGAGGAAAAATAATGGGGGTTTAGTTACATTATATGATCATACATTGCATAAGCCTGCCACAACGTCAATGTACCCCATTCCTGGCAGGTCCTACTCTAGCACCCAATATCTGCTATTATTGATTAACCCACTTACTGGGACCTTCTGCAGGGCAAGGCTAAATAGGGCTCTGGAATGAGACACCGTGGAGTACATTGTCGTTGTGGCAGGATTATGCAATTTATGATCATTTAATGTAACTAAACCCCCATTACTTTTACCTAGGTTAGGTGTTTTAAGAAAAACAAATTACATTTTGTGAGACTTGAAGTTCATTTTTAGTGAATGAGCGAGTGCGCTGGATGTTCTATGAAACTCCCTATAATGTATGCATGTTCAGGTGAGTACAGCCCCCTATAATGTATGTGTGTTCAGGTGAGTGCCCTCCCCTATAATGTATGTGTGTTCAGGTGAGTGCACCCCCCCTATAATGTATGTGTGTTCAGGTGAGTGCAGCCCCCTATAATGTATGTGTGTTCAGGTGAGTGCTGTCCCAATTATGTATGTGTGTCCCCTATTATGTATGTGTGTTCAGGTGAGTGCTGTCCCCTATTATGTATGTGTGTTCAGGTGAGTGCCGTACCCTATAATGTATGTGTGTTCAGGTGAGTGCACCCCCTATAATGTATGTGTGTTCAGGTGAGTGCCACCCCCTATAATGTATGTGTGTTCAGGTGAGTGCAGCCCCCTATAATGTATGTGTGTTCAGGTGAGTGCTGTCCCAATTATGTATGTGTGTCCCCTATAATGTATGTGTGTTCAGGTGAGTGCTGTCCCCTATAATGTATGTGTGTTCAGGTGAGTGCCCTCCCCTATAATGTATGTGTGTTCAGGTGAGTGCACCCCCCCTATAATGTATGTGTGTTCAGGTGAGTGCAGCCCCCTATAATGTATGTGTGTTCAGGTGAGTGCTGTCCCAATTATGTATGTGTGTCCCCTATTATGTATGTGTGTTCAGGTGAGTGCTGTCCCCTATTATGTATGTGTGTTCAGGTGAGTGCCGTACCCTATAATGTATGTGTGTTCAGGTGAGTGCACCCCCCTATAATGTATGTGTGTTCAGGTGAGTGCCACCCCCTATAATGTATGTGTGTTCAGGTGAGTGCAGCCCCCTATAATGTATGTGTGTTCAGGTGAGTGCTGTCCCAATTATGTATGTGTGTCCCCTATAATGTATGTGTGTTCAGGTGAGTGCCGTCCCCTATAATGTATGTGTGTTCAGGTGAGTGCTGCCCCCTATTATGTATGTGTGTCCCCTATTATGTATGTGTGTTCAGGTGTGTGCCGTCCCCTGTAATGTATGTGTGTCCAGGTGAGTGCCGCCCCCTATTATGTATGTGTCCCTCCTATTATGTATGTGTGTTCAGGTGAGTGCTGTCCCCTATTATGTATGTGTCCCTCCTATTATGTTTGTGTGTTCAGGTGAGTGCAGCTCCCTATAATGTATGTGTGTTCAGGTGTGTGCCGTCCCCTGTAATGTATGTGTGTTCAGGTGAGTGCTGCCCCCTATTATGTATGTGTGTTCAGGTGAGTGCCGTACCCTATAATGTATGTGTGTTCAGGTGAGTGCCGTACCCTATAATGTATGTGTGTTCAGGTGAGTGCTGTCCCCTATTATGTATGTGTCCCTCCTATTATGTTTGTGTGTTCAGGTGAGTGCTGTCCCCTATTATGTATGTGTCCCTCCTATTATGTATGTGTGTTCAGGTGAGTGCTGTCCCCTATTATGTATGTGTCCCTCCTATTATGTTTGTGTGTTCAGGTGTGTGCCGTCCCCTGTAATGTATGTGTGTTCAGGTGAGTGCCGTACCCTATAATGTATGTATGTTCAGGTGAGTGCAGCCCCCTATAATGTATGTGTATTCAGGTAAGTAAAGCCCCCTATAATGTATGTATGTATTATTATTATTATTGCCATTTATATAGCGCCAACAGATTCCGTAGCGCTATGTATGTTCAGGTGAGTGCAGCCCCCTTGTTTATATATTTACATAGACTCCTATATAGATTCAGGTACGTTCCTTGTGATTGCCAAGTGCCCTTTTTTCTCGTGGTAGTTTTCCGTCTCATACATTTGCCAAGTACTATGAAACTTGAACTCACAAGGTGTAAAAGGTTTAATGTGCTCATTTTTTGTAAAAAGGAAGCGGTCCTTTCCCAATTCTCTGTTGATCTCAGCAGAAAAATCCATTTGTGGAATAACTTACAGTTCTGTGTCAAGTGTTCTTTATTAATGGTGGATTGCCACAGCTAAAGCGTGGCAAATAAAAGTTATCATTTGTCTTTGCCATTAATCCATCGTCAAGTTCTCTTAAACCTGAAGTGCTCCGACCTTCCTGGCGAGCGTTAGAATAAAATCCTTCTTTGCCATTTGTAAGAATCTGATCACAATAATTCTTAGAGGGACCTCACTCTCTGCCCGAACCTCTTAAGGAAATATTAATCAGAGATGAAGGGGGAATCGCTTATAGGAAATCTTCCATGTGTGTCTTTGGTCAAATAACCGGATTAGAAATAGACCTGAGGCTTTAGAGGAGCACTACAACTCCTAGCAAGGGCAGCCGGCCAGCTAAAGCGTGGCAAATAAAAGTTATCATTTGTCTTTGCCATTAATCCATCGTCAAGTTCTCTTAAACCTGAAGTGCTCCGACCTTCCTGGCGAGCGTTAGAATAAAATCCTTCTTTGCCATTTGTAAGAATCTGATCACAATAATTCTTAGAGGGACCTCACTCTCTGCCCGAACCTCTTAAGGAAATATTAATCAGAGATGAAGGGGGAATCGCTTATAGGAAA